GCATGTAAATGCCCTTCGATTCTCTCTCTCTCTCTAGAGAGAGAGAGAGATTCCCACTCGCCCTAGATTTTGTGTTTAACCCTTTTTTGGTTTCGGCTTTTAATCGATTGCATGTTTACAGTGTGGCTTGCTTGATTGTTCATTACATTCTTAAAGGTTTCTTCTTTAATTTCTTGTGCTTCGGATTGGGTTTAAATCGAATTCGATTTGTTTATTGAGCTTTGCTTCGAGTTTCTGTGGGAATTGCATGTTTTCACTGGCTTGTTTGTTTGTGTATTCATTACATTGTTGAAGGTTTGTGCTTTTAATTTGTTATGGTTTGGTCTTTGTTTTGCAGGGGAGTAATTTTACTCCCTTTGGAGGTGATTTGATGGGTGAGTTTGAAGATGCACTTTTGAAGCAGAGACCAAACTGTGAATCAGGATCTCGATTGGGAGAGTTACTGGATAATCGGAATAAGAGTCATATCCAACGCCGCTTATCTGAACTTGAAGGTTACAATCAAATTTTATAGCTTCAAATTTTATACTCCTAATGTTCACTTCAAAGTATCGCAAATTGTGATTTTTGTTACTGGAATATCTTTGTGAACTGTATTGTTCAAGAGGAACGCTTACTGTTGTGTTTGTATCAGAATTACCTTCCACTAGAGGTGAAGACTTGCAGGGAAAATGCTTACTTGAGCTTTATGGGCTAAAGGTATCATTACCGTCAATGGTCTTTGCTATTATGTGACTGATGTTTGGATTGTGACATTTTTTAGACTAATACTGTACCTTGGTGAGTTTTGCAGCTACGAGAGTTGCAATGCAAGGTCCGAACAGAGTTGAGCTCGGAATTCTGGCTACGTTTGAACTGTGCAGATGTTAGTAGCCAACTTTTTGACTGGGGCATGATGCGGTTGCCTCGCCCATTTTATGGGGTTGGAGATCCTTTTGCTATGGAAGCTGATGATCAGTTCAGAAAGAAGCGTGATGCTGAGGTCATTTACTTTCTTACAAGTAGCTGTTCTAGTGCAATTTATTTGAGGCTTTCATAATGAAAGTCTTCCAGTTGAACTATGATTCCTATCTCTTAGCAGTATAAATATATTACTTGATTCTGCTTTGTTGGGAACTCCTGTAGAGATGGATTATATTGAAGTGAAGTGAAAACTGTACACAGATTCTACTTTCTAGGCATATGACATTTGTTTATAGTTCTCAAATTTCTTGCTTTGCATCGCTGATGTGTTCAAATTCTTTGTTTAGAGGTTATCACGTTTAGAAGAAGAGGAGAAGAATCTGATTGAAACCGCCAAGAGGAAATTCTTTGCAGAAGTACTCAATGCAGTTCGTGAATTTCAGTTGGGAATTCAGGCGACCCAAAAACGCCGTAGGCAAAGAAATGATGGTGTGCAGGTATGGTATCATTTACGTACACATTTATCGTGATGGTAGTTCAGATATCCTTTGATATTATCAATGTACAAACTTTTAAAAGATATTTTTGTTTCTACATTATTTAACAGGCATGGCATGGGAGACAAAGACAGCGTGCTACTCGTGCCGAAAAGTTGAGGCTAATGGCCCTTAAATCCGATGATCAAGAGGCATACATGAAACTCGTAAAGGAGAGTAAAAATGAAAGACTAACCACTCTTCTAGAGGAGACTAACAAACTCCTTGCTAATTTGGGAGCTGCTGTTCAGCGTCAGAAAGATGCTAAACTTCCGGAAGGCATTGATCTACTGAAAGACTCAGAATCTGAGTTATCTGAACTTGATGCTCCAAGAAGTGAACCATTGCAGGATTTGCTTCCTGATCAGGATATTGATATCGCTGAGTCCGACACTAACGATGACTCCAATGATTTACTAGAAGGCCAGAGGCAGTATAACTCTGCTATTCATTCAATACAAGAGAAGGTAAGTTTGATCTCTATTGTATATTTAGTAGCAGTACGCTTAATTGTTTAAAAGCTGCCATCTCAGAGACCACTGGATTTTAAGTAGCAATATTTACTTTTAACAGGTGACGGAGCAGCCTTCGCTTCTACAAGGTGGGGAACTAAGATCGTACCAATTAGAAGGACTTCAATGGATGGTTTCTCTGTTCAACAATAACCTCAATGGAATTTTAGCTGACGAGATGGGTTTGGGAAAAACTATCCAAACAATTTCATTGATTGCGTATCTTCTGGAGAATAAAGGTGTGCCTGGACCTTATCTGATAGTGGCTCCAAAAGCTGTGCTACCAAACTGGGTAAACGAGTTTGCTACATGGGTACCGAGGTATGTGGCAAACAGTTTATCTCTTGGTGCTGGGCACTTTCGCTGGTATGAGTCTGAATATCATACATCTGTTCTTTGACAGTATTGCAGCTTTTCTTTATGATGGACGTTTAGAGGAAAGAAAAGCAATAAGGGAAAAAATTGCAGGAGAAGGAAAATTTAACGTGTTGATAACCCACTATGATCTTATCATGAGAGATAAAGCATTTTTGAAGAAAATTGACTGGTATTACATGATTGTTGATGAAGGACATCGGCTGAAGAACCACGAATCCGCTCTCGCAAAGACTCTATTAACAGGGTACATCTCTATATTAATTTGTCTGCAGTGAATGATATATGGCTACTCTGATCTTTCTCCTAGAATGCTGAGGAATTTGAGTATATTTCCTAACACAAATTTATCCTGGATGCAGCTATCGTATAAAACGCAGACTTCTGTTAACCGGGACACCCATACAGAATAGCCTTCAAGAACTATGGTCATTGCTTAATTTTCTCCTTCCTCACATCTTTAACTCGGTTCAGAACTTCGAGGAATGGTTTAATGCTCCTTTTGCTGATCGTGCTAATGTTAGTCTTACCGATGAAGAGGAGCTGTTGATCATCCACCGTTTGCATCATGTGGGTTCTGCAGCTATTTTTCCTTCAATCTCCTACCAAATTTTATATGCAATTTTGTTTCGATGTTAATTCACTCTCTGTCACTTCCAGGTTATAAGGCCGTTTATACTGAGAAGGAAGAAGGACGAAGTAGAGAAATTCCTTCCTGGAAAGACGCAGGTCATATTGAAGTGTGATATGTCTGCGTGGCAGAAAGTTTATTACAAGCAAGTTACAGACATGGGCAGGGTTGGCCTTCAAACAGGTTTTGTAGTTTAACTCACTTATGCTCTACAAATTTTGCACTCCACCTTTCAGGTAAGGAAAATGAATCAGAAAGTAGTTCTTTATATAAATGTAATCATAATGTGCAGGATCTGGGAAATCAAAGAGTCTGCAAAATCTAACGATGCAATTAAGAAAGTGTTGTAACCACCCGTATCTATTTGTTGGAGGAGACTACAACATGTGGAAGAAACCAGAGATTGTGAGGGCTTCAGGGAAATTTGAGCTTCTTGATCGTCTCCTTCCAAAACTGCGCAAGGCCGGTCACAGAATTCTTCTCTTCTCCCAGATGACCCGTCTCATTGACGTTCTCGAGATTTACTTGTCACTTAATGATTATAAGTACCTCAGACTCGATGGTACCACAAAGACGGATCAAAGAGGGCTTTTACTGAAGCAATTCAATGAGGCAGACTCTCCGTACTTCATGTTTCTACTGAGCACGCGTGCCGGAGGTCTTGGTTTGAACTTGCAAACTGCGGACACTGTAATTATCTTTGACAGTGATTGGAACCCACAAATGGATCAACAGGCTGAGGATCGAGCCCATCGCATAGGACAGAAGAAGGAAGTCAGAGTGTTTGTTTTGGTTAGTGTTGGCTCCATTGAAGAAGTAATATTGGAGCGTGCAAAGCAAAAGATGGGCATTGATGCCAAAGTCATACAAGCTGGACTTTTCAACACAACGTCCACTGGTAAGTTTGTCCCAAACAACAATCTGATGGCTTCTGCTTCATATACCGAAATGGTAAATCTCTTGATGTGATTTTTTTATTATAACAACAGCACAAGACAGAAGAGAGATGCTTGAAGAGATCATGCGCAAAGGAACAAGCTCACTCGGAAATGATGTCCCCAGTGAGAGAGAAATAAATCGGCTAGCGGCTCGTTCTGAGGATGAATTTTGGATGTTTGAGAGAATGGATGAGGAGAGAAGGAAGAAAGAGAATTACAGAGCCCGTCTGATGCAAGAGCAGGAAGTCCCTGAGTGGGCATACACTACACAGAGCCAAGAAGAGAAGGCAAACATCGGAAAATTTAATTTTGGGAGTGTCACAGGTAAGCGAAAACGTAAAGAAATCGTTTATAGTGATTCACTAAGCGAGTTACAGTGGATGAAAGCCGTGGAGAGCGGTGAAGACATGTCAAAACTCTCTAAGAGACATAGGAGAGGGGAGAACGCAAGCAACACAAAGACACCAAAGAGTAAAAAAGCGATAGAACCTATCACAATGGTGAGTGATGGGACAAGC